GGTGTAAGCCTCAAGTCTATTTTGTTGGCCATGGTTACAGTGTAGGTTGCTACAGAGAATGCTTCACAAATTTAACTGCTGCGGAAGTGCTGCTATTTTATGAAATAAAACATTAATATTGCAATTAATTTTTCTGATATTGGATAACTTGCTTTGAACTTGTACAGGATGTATTTTGCACATCTCCATCTCTGGCATGGGAAAATTATCTGACGGGGTAGTGATTAGAAATGGAGACCACTTCCAAGCAAGCCACAAATCTTAAGAGAGAAGTGCTTTAACTTAAATATATTAAATGCTTTAAGAGCAGAATAAGGTTTCAGAAGAAGCTGAAGATACTACCACTATAAACAGTTACACACAGCTACACTGGTGAAGATAAGAAATTTCAAGTCCTGAAGAATAATGGACTTAGTTGTGCCCTAGAGACCATAAGCTGGGGCCCTGGCATTTATAGACAAACAAGAAGTATACAGATCTATAATGAAAGTAGTAATTCCCCCTTAACGAACCTGAGGACAAAGTAGAGGCCAGATACAGATGAATGAAGTAGGTAATTTTAAAAGCAGTCTGCTGCCTAACTCTCTAGCCATAATCTGCACTGGTGACAGCACTTGGTGGAGAAGACAATGCTTCTCCATGAATGTGAACTAATCAGCTGAGATTTTTTTTCTTCTTCGCACTAGATTTTAAGGGTTACGTTTAACAGCAGTGATTGATACAATGAGAAAGAAAAGAGTAGATCCACATTTTGTTACAGCATAGACCAGTTACTGAGTGAAAAGTCCTGCTCTCCCTAAAGAATTGCCGCTTTTACCAGCTTAATTTTATTTTCCTGAACATAAAAAATCCAAACCTAAATGTCCTGCAACAAGAGCTTCTGCTTTGTGTTCTTGAGGATTAGCAACTGTGTCTGTACTCAGAAAAGAACCAACTTCACAAATAAAACTAGGTTTGGTGATTTTTTTTGTTTTGGAACAATCTATCCTTTCCATATTAAGGATAAAGGGCTTTAATCTATTATCAAAAAAAATCACCTAAGAACAAATGCATAAGCAAGTATTATATTAATTATATTACAAAATTATATTTCACAACAGGATTATAAAAATCTACATATGATTGCTTCATTACATTTGTATCAAATACATCAGTATTTATAATTAAATGTCAATGTCATTTTTTAAAAACCAAGCAAAAAGAATATACTGTGTTTGATGCAGACTTCTAATCAGTCTTTCAATGACTACTGACATTTGACTGGAGGTCAGCTTTGCAAATGCACTTATAATTCAATGTATAAGGATACTTACTCATAAAACTGTTCCCTGTAGGTTTTATCAAAGATATCAACATCCTCATCATTAACTTGCCAGAATGGAATTAAGCCATTTATGCCACTTGATATATTACATTCCATAACTACATGAGAGCCTACAAAAAAACATTTAAACATAGGAACTGAAGGTCTTGTAACAGAAGCAGGATCAAGTGATGAAGGAACAGTCAGGAACAGGAGGGATATAAAACAATAAATACCTTAAGAAAACCAGAGTCCTAAAACTCATTCATTTGTAATCCAATTTTGGGTGCCTACGACCTGGATATAAATTCCACCCTAAATGCAGGTGTCTAAATGTTCACATCTACATGTAAGCTAGATGTCTAAGCTAGTAACACAGTTCAGCTCTGCTGAAGTCCACACACTGAAGTAGATACCTTAACTGAATGGCTCTCCCGACTCCACTGAAAGATCTCCAGGGCTCAAATCAGTTGCATGTACACACTGTGGCAACATCCAAGGTATCTATATGGAGTTCTCAGACAGGACTCCAGATCTTAAAGAAATCTGCACTGCTAGAGTAGCCAGACTGCTCAAAACAGCACTCCATGTGTAGGCAGCTGAGTCGAGCCCCCGTTGATAACGGCACGGGGTAAAGACGCTAGATCATATGCAGATACCCACATGCAGACAACTACACCCTGGAGCTGAACCCCATTCTTAGGGACCATGTATATCTTTACTCCACATCAGAGTCTTTTGGCCAGCACTGTCCACTGGGATGGTTTCTGAATATTGTCACATTCTACTCCCAGAGCAAGCTCACCTGTCACTCAGGTCCTTTGCCACCAAGAGTCCAGATCTTACAGAATGCCTCAGTATTACCCAAATCAAGTTGCAAAACATATTTGTTTCCAATGTACCTCGGAGAGCTCCACGTACAGGAAGGTAAGCAGCTTTCTTGGATTCCTTTCCTTCTCTATTTTACCCATGGAAGTTATGATTTGATAGGAGAAGGTGGGCTGTCTCAGTTCACCTATGTAAAGATCTTAGTGTTTCATTTCCTAGAACCACATCAGATCTAGAAGCTTCTACCAAGGAATAATCTCTAACAAAAGTATGGAATAAACCTTTACCTTACGTGCAAAGCAGTTACTTGAACAAGAGTTTGCATAGAAATCAGAGATGCTCCCCAATCTCTTCCCTCCTGTCCTTCCACCATGATAATGAATTTTTCTAAAGATGTGGTTTAGTGTGTTGCACAGTTCTTCAAAAGGAAAAAAAAACCTCAAATGCATGTTCCATGCTCTCCATTTCCATGCATTCATAAATTTACTGTTAAGTTTCTGAACAACCTTCTCCTGCCATTTCTCATTCAAAAATCATACAGCTGTTTCTACGTTCATGCAGGTGTTTAAATATTCTGCACTACAGCCAGACATCTAATAGGAGCAAAGATTTATTTTTTTTCTTCCAGTAACCCATTAAAGGTACTGGACAGAGAATATTACTTTTGAATGGCTATGCCTTTTTAAAACAAACCAACCAATCAATTTCCTTAAATTCCTGTAAAGTGTCTCACCTAGTCCTCATTTAACAGGGGGGCAATATTTCCACAGATACTGAAGATACATCAAGACAGGGACACTGAGAAGTGGTAGAAAGGACAGATGACAATAACAATAAATAAATAAATAAACAGATAAATAAATTCATCCCGCACAACACTGCTGGTCAAGATACTCCAATCTTAGGCACATAGTTATTTCCCCCTACAAACTATTTGTGGGAATCATGTTCTATCATCTCTTATCTGTCTTCCAGATATCCTCAATCCACATGTTAATCTCCCAGTCTTGCTGAAGTCCATGGAACTGTTCACACGTTATTTCACAAAGACCAGGAGCTTTGTTTTACTTAATAACCTCTTAAATAGTCAGTACTTACCAAGTTCTACTTCAATTGTATTGTTCTTCGGATAAATAAACTCTGGTTTTATCTGTGGTGGTTTTTCTAATCAGAACAAAGAAAAATCAAAAACTTCAGACAGGAAGAGTTCCACAACTTACTTCAACTGACAGTTTTACAGTGGTTTTGGTTTTATTGTTTGGTACTATTGTAGTGTCATACTTACTACCAGTTTCAAATTTGCAACAGAAATATCTCATAAGACATTTGCTGTGCTCTCTCCAAATTATTCTCTTTTAGCTCCCAAGTTAACAAAAGGCTTTAGCTTACCTTAAAAATACTTAAAAAATAAATTCTCAAATTTACTTTTATATCAACTCCCAGTAAAATAACCAGAAAAAGATAAAAACAAAAAATGCAATTAACTTTTTCAGAGAGATGGATAAGGAAGAGAAAGAGGGATTGTATAATGATCTCCTAGATAAGGTGAATATTTATTTAAGTCAAAGTTTAAATAAACACATGCTTAAACTGGGCTGGAATTGTATTGTTCTGCATCATGTTTAGACTGGCTGCTAACAACCCACTGCTCTTATATCTGCCTGAGTCAGAATTTTGATTTAATCTAAAAAGATGTACATGCTCTTTCCAGCCAACTATTCTGATAGGACTACTACCATGTTACTAGTCAGGTCACCAGCAATACTGCTCACAAAGACACAATTACAATGATAACAGCAATAAATGACACTACTGGGAGAGTGAGACAGCCAGTTCCACATCCTGTGTGCAGGAAAGCACAACTAAGTGGCAACAGTAAGCCAATCCTTTCTACAGCAAGATTTAACTTTATAGTATTTATGCAGCTTGTCACATCTCCTTTCCCATCAACCGAGATTCTAGTGAACTCTGTAAGCAAGTTCACCAGCAGGGCTGCAAGAAGGTGGTTTGCTGTGATAGTCTCAGAAAAAAATACTCTATTTTAAAATGTACTTAATTTAGTGGTCCATTATTTGTTTCAGCAAAAACAATGCCCTCACACCCCAGTAACGACTCCTTTCCTCTAATTCTCATTCCTAAGCCCGCAATACTCATTTCCCCATAACAATTCTTCCCCAAAAGCAATCCTTAAGGATAGCAACGTCCTTCATTGTATTTTAATTTTATATTCAGGAATAAATTAATTAAAGAAGATTTGCAACTCTAATTTCACAGAGCTGAAAGGTAATATGCCAGGTATCTTATGCCTGCATACAAATATTTACAGCAGAGCCAAAAAGAGAATAACCTCATGCACTCACCTTTAACTTCCAGACTTATGGTTCTTGAAACATTATACTGTTTTCCCATGTAGGTGTACACCATACGGCACGTGTAGTTTCCTCTATCTTGCACGGTTACGTTACGAATCAAGACAGCATTTTCACCCTCTGCCAAAAGAAGTCGCTTGTCTTCAAGAAATCCAGACTTACACTCCTAAATACATCAAAAGTACTTGTGACTTAAGGGCACTAAAAACCTGACAATTGAATAAGTTACTGAACTCTACTGATTATTAAAATACTTGCCAAATACTGACTTTTTTTGAAAGACATTATGTGGGTTCTTATTCAAGCACCACTACACTCTAACATGAAGCCTGATGACATCTTACTCCATTTGCACTTTTTAAAAAATCCCTGCAGCCAATCCTTTCAGTTTTCAAATGCTGTGCTTTAGTTCACTGCCTGCATTAATAGCATGGCAGTTATCCATCTCAGGTGTAATAGAAGTTATGCATGTAGCAGAGTTTATGAGAATACATGCCTGCATCCCTGCTTCACTGTGATGCAGTGCCTTGTGTTGTCTGGGTTTCTGTGGCAATGTGAATACAGCGAAAAACTTCCTTCTCTTCCTTGACCTATAAGCAGTGGAGAAACCCTTCATCTCAAAAGATGTATAGGTGCAGCACCGAGGTTATTTTACATATATGGCCCATGTAGCTGCTTTAATACCAGCATCAGAATTAAGAGTTGAACTACTTCATAATTTTACCTTAACACAGACAAAATATGTGTTTCTAAGCTTGCACAGTCTACAGAGTATTTTCATAAAACCAAAGCAAGCAGCATAAGAATACCACAGCATAGTCAACAGATAGGACATGCCTAATATTCTGAGAAACAGAAATAATTATCCAAAGCCTTGTATTTACAGAAACACACAAGTTTTAAAACTTATTATCTACATAAAATAATCAAATGAACCAGATTTTCACAAAACTTATTCACACTCATGCCTTGCTCAAACTGTAGAGAAAATAAACCTTCCCTTCCAAAAGCAGCTTTTCCCAGGTACTCCACAAGACATTTTAAATAATACATGTTGTATCTTGTATATATGAAATACACATGCAAAATACCTTATACCAATGTACTTCAGGCTGATTATTGTCTTCATCTTTAAATTGTTCTAGATCAGGACATATAATCTTTCCAGTATTTGTGCTCATCACTTTTTGTTCAAACTTCATTTTTCCATTAAAACAAAAGCCATTATCATTCTTAAAAACTGTTAAATTTATAGTTTTTTTGTTAGAGTGGTTAAGGCTCCTGTAATCAGAACAACAAACAAGTCAGGTCATTAACAGAAAGGTTCCTGCTTTCCAGCAAGTCAAGCAGTTTACAGACAGGGAATTCAGCATCTTCACTGGCCTTGCCTCTAACACCCCTGCTGCATCCTCCTAGCTCACAAATACCATCCTCAGCCCCTCACCCCCATTCCAGATCAAGAGATGGGAATAAGCTCTGATTTTGTGTTGTGAGCAGAAGTGGGGTCTGCTCTGGAAGCACCAGAGGGGATGTGAGGACTTCTCAGAACTCCCATTAAGGTTTAAGTGACTGATGCACAAAATGCTGCCTACAGTTAACACAACTGAACATTAGCAAGTTTTGTGTCCTGCTGACATTATGCAAGCCAGGGATGTGAGGTGCGCACAGGAACACATTTCATAGCTCAAGCAACTAGAAGCATAGTAGGAAAGACTAAATTAAAATTATATAACTGGGTAGCTTTGAGAGGATTACATGTCTTCTGACTTCCAATTTCAGCTTCATTTGTCAGCTCTGGAGAAGGAACGTGCAAAGGCCCACGACATGGGAAGTTTCTGCTGATCACTGTTACTACATTCACAACCCAAACCCCTCCAGGATAACTGGTGTACTGTATGCACACCACTACACATAACTACACACTACTAAAACAAATTCTGGACCACCTGAAAAGCCTGTACTGGCTGTTCTCAGTGTGTTGTGGCAAGACCATGAGGAAAGGAACAGTTTCTGTCTGTCTTCCCAAAATTAATTTCCTGTTCAGCACACAGTGAATTTCAACCATCACAAAAAAGATTCGATGACCTGAAGTAGTTAAGCCCAGTGCACTAATCTGAGCTGTAGATGTAGCAAGAGCTTTAAAGTACCAAAAAAAGCTAGATAAAGATTCTTTTCAAATAATCTATTCCCTTTATTTCTTCTCTTTGCACTCAGATTGTTTGAGTAGTGTTACTGACACATCATTTTCACTGTCTCTAAAGCTGTCCAGCACATTGCTTTGCATTCTCATTTTTGACCAGTAACAATTGGTAATATTTTAAAATAAATCATAAGAAAGCTTTTCTGCCTTTTAATTTGTAAATTTCTAATAAGATTTGCAAAAAGTTGCTAAGCTCTCCAGAAAATCTGTGTGTGGTGATACTGCATAAAATGCAGAGTTTCCTCCTCTTAGATCCTGCTTCCATTTAGCCATGTTCTATGAAGAAAACAAAATGTTCTTCTGATCTGTGAGTATCAAACAGCAATTTGAACACAGGAAAAGCTGAAGCAGTGAAGATGTTTTCCTGTGACCTTATGCTTCATCCAAAACAAACAAGCAATCCTCACATTGTTAGTGTTATCATGCTTCAAGATAAAGAGTCTTCTGTATGAACCACTTTTGCAATGGTAAATAGGTGGAAGAGAAAGGCATCATGCAGAAATAAAAAGCATGGTCAAAATAGTGCTTTTTAACTGTTTAAGCATTCTACCTAAAACAAAAAAAGTTTTGTATGCTCAAGTTCCACAAATACATTATCAAACTTGCAAGCATTAGCAACCCAATTGTTTCTATCCTTCCTTCCTTACCTTACACCGCATTCATAAGGTCCAGAATCTTCCAGCATTGCAGGAACAAACCAAAGCAAGCCCTCTCGCTGGTGGATCCTGGCATTTGTCTCTGTAGTTACTGGTGTAGCACTAGCATTTTTATACCACGTCAGATTGTAATTAGAGTGAAGCACTGGCAGTGTAATAATGGGGCAAGTAATAGCTGTAGGCTCTCCAACAAGCACAAAGTAATCACAAAGAACACATTCCTCTACTAAAAAAAAGATAAAAATTATCAATGCTTTTAATCTATACACTCATATGTTTTAGAAGTATCAATATCCATTCCAAGTGACACAGAATTAGAAAATAAACTTTCTGAAACAATTTACCATTAAAACATCACAAGGCTACTATTTTTTGTTTGTTTAGCACCTTCTGGTTGAAGACATAAACACACATTTTACAAGCTTATGCCACAACTTCCCTCTGTTAAGGTATTCAGTAACAAGCACATGCAAGTCCAATACCCTCAGCACAAACCAGAGTATTAGATCCATGGGATTCACCAGGCAACTCCAAGCTTCCCAACTCACCTGTCATGTCCTTGTTATTTGAGCATGTTATTACTTTTGCAGAATTTCCAGATTCTTAGTGTGAATACTACCTATGTAAAGCATAGTGCAAACAGTAGCAGCGTAGAGCTCCTGACACTACTCTGGCCATTATGACTGTGGGGCCAAAAACAAATCAGGGGTTAAAAGAACAGGTGTTTCTTAACCTGAAGCCAAAGACAGTATGGAATGATATCAAGACCTCAACACATCCAAGAAGTCTGTAAACCAACATGTTACAATAAAAAAAAAATCTGGAAAGGCACAGTATTTAGATTAAGAAGTCTTGACCATAATGTATTGTTTCCTTACTATATTTGCACCTTTATCCAGAAGGCCCATTATTCTGAACATCATATAAAAGATCAGCATAAACAGAATTTTTATAATTATGTCTGTGTAACAAGTTGACATGGCACAATAATGCAGCCCAGCAACCATTTCTTTAAACATCAGCCAAAAAATATCAGAGAAAGTAAGACAGATACTGCAAAAAGTTATCAAGAACCCAAATCTGCAAGCAAAAACATACTGGAGAATACCATTTTAACACAGAGCTAGCCATTGGGCTATAAAGTAGATTGTAAAACTTTCTAACTTCTGCATACATTTGCCCAGAGAAGCAGATGCCTCATTCCTGGAAGTATTCAAGGCCAGGTTGGATGGGGCTTTGAGCAAACTGGTTTAGTGAAAGGTGTCTCTGCCCACGGCAGGGGGGTTGAACTGGATGATCTTTAAGGACCCTTCCAACCCAAACCATTCTGTGATTCTGTATGCAGCACGGAATTCCTATGAAACTGCAAAACATCTGGCTGAACTGATTTTAAAAACCTGCTGAATGACTGTATAAATACAAAGTCAACAGATTCCATTTCAAAATAAAAAAAAGTCTTCAGTAATCCTTTCAGTATCACTATCTTACTACCACCTAATTTGAAGATTTCCAAGTAGGTCTCTATGTAGCTTAAACTAATTCAGAGACATTAATATTAAACTGCTTATGACAAGAGTAGCAAGACAAGCATCATTAATTTATGTAGTTCTGAACTTTACTGAAAAAATAGGCCTATCTTAAAAATATTACTAATTAACTGTAAAGGAAACTCAGCCCTACTGCTTTCAGGACTAGAGATACAGCATGTTTCTTAAGGCATTCAACAGCTAACAAAGTCAAGGAAGCCAATCATTTTGGACTTTCTTCACAAGAAACAGGGAGAGGCTAATCAAAGCCTCAGTACCCTAAGTTTATGTGGCTAGATTTAAAAACTTTTATGTCCATTTGTCCATGCCATCCCTCATGCAATTTCAATCCCAGAAGAGGCACTCAGCTATTTTTAATACACTGAAGCAAAAACAAACCCCAGATCCACTACTTGCTCTTGATATCTCTTTCCTAGTAAATATACACAACTTATCTCTTGCAGATTTTCTTTTTTAAAATAGTAATTTCAACGAAGTATGTAACCTACCAGCACTGAACAGAGGTATCAGTAGAATGAGATGACCAATGAGCAAAACTACAGGTGTCATATTTTGCTGCAAAACAGAAGCTTTTTCAAATGCTGGGTTAAGACTGTTCAAGCTGCACTGTCCTCTGCACCCTGCATTACTTCTAAAAAAAAAAAAAAAATCAGAAGAAGCATTAGTCATCTTGCAGAGGGAAAAAATGGATTTGATAAGCTGCTGTCTTCAGCTTTCTACTAGAACTTTTCCTGAACTAGAACTATTCTACTGGAATAATTCTTGCATAAAATATAATTATCTTTTGCCAGCATAGTTAACTAAAAAAACCCCCCACAACCCTGAAGCACAGAAGAATTATGCTAGCATAGTGATTTCAGCTATACTACATAATTTAAAAACCAAGCTTGATTGTCTTTCCACATGCTTACAAGTGACACAATCACAGAGATGTACGAGGTTTCATTCTTTGAACTGTTTTTGTATGACTGAGGCATCACTGCTTTTAAGAGCAGATAACCTACAATTCTTTATAAGCACACTAATTTTAGTGTGACCTGGCACTTAAAGTGGCATCTAAAGTCGAATGTGTAGAAACCGCAGCTAATATGAGTTGCTGTGGTCAGACACAAAAGAAAAGTGTCCGTAATTGTAGTTTCACTTCACACCTCAGGTCTTGTTTTCAGTTTTCTCCAACTAAGACATGATTAAACAGACACACACTGCCCTCATGGCCTGCAAGTGGCTTCTATGAAACCTCTAAACCTTAACCAAGTCCTGCTCCCCTCTCAGATGCACCTGCATTTTTTTGGCAAGGTGTCATCAGAGATCTCCCTAAGCCTTCTACTGTCAGCCAGCTGGGAAACACTTAAATCCTTTTTCTTCTGACAGCTCCTTGTAAGTTAAGGTCTGCATTTAGCTGTCGTGTCTTTCCTCAGCTTCTGACTATTTTGTGTGCTGCTGCCTCTCACTCTATAGCAAACTGGTTTCAATTGAAGCAGTCCATTGCAAAACATTCATTGCAAAGGTCCTAGTTAATATTGCTTTCTACCCAGCTAGAAATGGCAGGAAGAAAAGAAGATATTCCCTGAAAAAGTCAGCCTTGACTTACTTTTATATCCAATGTAGTTCAGTGACAAATAAGCCACACCAGCTCCTTCTTCTGAAACATTTCACATGTAGAAGTGTTGGGGTAGTAGGGAGGGACACACAAAGCAGAGTTCAACACTTTAACATAACAGCCTCTGAGTATGTACTTCTTTTGGACAGTTTATCTGACAAAGCCCTCATACCACAGACTTTATTCAGTTGCCTTATATGTGCTTTTCCTGTAACTTGCCAATGAGCAGATCATAATTCCTGAAGTTTCAGTTTATCTGTAAAAAGCAGAGAAGGGGGGAAAAGGAGTTTACAAAACCCATCATTTGGACAGCAGCATACACATCCAAAACCAAATTTTCTACAGACATCTAAAATATAAAAGCAAGAGCATCCCTCTCCCTACAATAGAGAGATGACTTAATAGAGCAACAACAAAACTTGCAGTAGAGATCGACCAAGAATTCTAGCAAAGATCTTTGGACAATGAAGTTTCTGTCAAAAACAACATAATATTACACAGGTGACAAGCAACTTCATAAGACTAATTTAACCACTAAAAGGAAACAAAGAATACTTAAACATTGGGCAAAATAATAACAACTAAGCAATCCAACAAGTTAAGCTTTATATTTTGCACTCATTATTTGCCTCCAGTACCAAGAGCAGATGTCTTTCCAATACTGTATGTTAAAGTACAACTTTTATTGCAGCAGTAAAGCTTAAAACTTCTATAAAGACAGGAAGAAGTCTCTAACTTTGCAGTTGCAATGCCTCACAGTATGCAGAGCATATTTATCCTGGTCAGTAGGGTTTCAAGTGACCACACAAGGGTTCTACATTTTTTCTTAAACGAAATACAAAGAGAAACACTACCCAAAATCCACAAATGTGAAACAACAAACTTTGCTTAGAAAGCAGATGTTTGATCACATACTCAACAACTTTAGCCTGGTAGTGCCTCCTATCCCAGTCTCAGCACTATGAAATGTCCCCAGGATACAACGACAGAAGCTCAAAAATTCCATGTGTAGAGAATTCCAGTTTCACTGATGACACTGTCTACATAGTCTGGAAAACTGTTTTCAGTTCAAAGCTTACTGGCCTCAAAGGAAAAATGCACATGAAATCTTTTAAGAAATAAAGGGGAAAAAAAGCCAACAAGAAACAAAATCCCACATCACTTATAATGTTTGTGGCTGAAGTTACCAAAACAGTTAAAGCATAACAGCAAAGCATGCTAAAATTTCTAACAGACTTGTTTCAAGTCTACCACTTTCCCAAGATCACAAATTTCCTGTCTAACATACTCAATATATAAACAGAATGCAGTTGATCATTTTACAGGGGCATGTACAAACACCGTGTCACACAACTTGATGCACAAGCACTCTCAAGAAGCTCACAGAATCTATAACTGACTGTGATCAAGTTGGTTATCCACTGGGGTATTCTGACACTGATGTGTTGACCAGTAACTTCAGACTTCAAATGTCTCCCTTCCCAACAATCCTGCAAGATGCAGAACTACAGAAAAGTTGTACCTTTAAGGAAAACCCATTATCCAGGGCATTACGTTGAAGCTACATCAAAACACAGTCAAACAATGTTCACAAAGAAGCCTGCAACAGTTCAGTCTTTGCAAGCTAAATTCCAGTTCAGTCTTAGGATAAGTACTAACTATTCTAAATCTGACTTTGAAGAAAGTGTATTTCTTCAAATTCAGGTACTGCCCCAACTTTCACCAATGAACAGGAGGAAGGAAACAAAAATACTATCTGTAGCTTATCAATATTCAAATAAATTAAAAACAGTACCTTCTTTCAGTATCAAGTGGAAGGAGTTAATTTCACAGTCTGCTCTTCGAAGACTTTTCTATGTCATTTCAACTCCTGATACCTGTCATTGTAAAGTAATAAGAATTTTAATGTCACCCATTTTTTATTTAAATCCAAAGTAAGTGATTCATTTTCCATTATCATTTCAAAGTACTGTTAAGAAGCATTTAAAAGGACCTGAACGGCTCATGCAGGTAAAACTGTATGTATCAAAAATAGTGATGCAAAGTGTTAACAAAAAAAAAAGTATTATTCTCAGAGGGAGAGAGGAAATCAGTAATATTTTTTACAAAAAAAAAGTAACATGTATTTCTCATTTAAGGATTAATTTAAAACATGTGCATTAAAATATCTCAATTAAAGATTCTGCATTCTAAAATAACTTTTGTTCATGACCTTTTAGCCTGTTTTTTGAGGATCCAAGCACATACAAATCGTCCAAGTCAAATGAGAGCACGATGCTGAATTTCTCAAGAAGAAAAACAAAACACATCCAGCAGCTTGCTTGAGTCCCTGAAGAAACTCTCCAATCTTAAGAGCTGCTGCTGCTGCTGGAAACAAACCAGAACCTTGATTCAGCTTAGTAGTTTTTAATGGATAGCTCACTCCTACCAAGCTATGGCTCTCCAGGCTGCTGCCAAGAGCTATCTAGGAAGCGGCCAGAACAGGTCTGGGATTGTTAGAGCAGCGCTCCTTGCTGGGTTTGATACAGGTATTTCTGCAGGCATCATCCAAAACCTTGCTCTTGTCATATAAACAGTTAAAAAAAGGAGCCTTTCTTGGTCATCCTTATGCAATAAATAAATACAGAAATAGTTTCTGCCACGTTTACTAGGTCAAGAAGATTTACGCCAAACATTATCCCGCTTCCTGTTACAAGTACTTTAAAAAATGTGGCAGCGTTAGCACTCCTACAGCCTTTATTTATACACTGCACTCGTACCTGGGCTTGTACAATTAGACACACAACGAGGGAGCAGACACAAAGGCAAAATAAAAAAGTTACTTCTAAGGGCGCTATTTAGTGCCGTGAAAGATGGGACAGCAGCAGCCACAAATACAGGTAGGGAGACTGTGTCAACACACCTCGCAGCAACACGCACGGCCTCAAAACACGGCTAAAAGTAACACAAACCCAGGGGCTGGGGTTAGTTTTTTTGGAAGCCATCAGCCACTGCAGCCTAAACCTGCCGAGGAGCCGCTCCCCGCTGCCCGCGGACCCCCGACCGCCCTGGGGGCGCCGGCCCGGGGGGACCCTCCCGCCGCCGCCCGCTCCCCACGGCGCCAAAGGACGGCAAATGGGCCACGGCGCGACGGGACACACGCGGGGAAAGGAAAGCCCAGCCGCCTCCGGGCCCCGCCGCAGCCCACACCCCCCTGCCCTCCCCGTCACGCCGAAGCCGAGCCTCGGCAGGGAGCGAGGCGCTGCCCCCACGGTGCCCACCGCCCCTCCTCACCTCCGGCTGCTCCCCGCGTCCAGCCGGCCGCCCCGGTCCGCTCCACATAGCGGGCGGGCGGGCTGGAAGCACACCCCGCCTCGCCCGGGGAGCCGCGGCTGCCGCCTCGCCCCGCCCCGAGGCCGCCCCCGGCCCGCCTCGCTGCCTGCACTGCCCGCTGCCCGAGCCGGCGTGGGCTGAGCGGCGCTGGGAGTCCGGGCGTCGCCGCTGAACCCCGGGGACGTGAAGCACCGGGCACAGGGCGAGCTGGGTCCTCATGATGGCCCCCTTTTCCCTGGCATCAACCCACATCCTTTAGATCTCAAGCCTGGATTTAGTTCCCCTTCAGGCTGTGAAGGGGACGGCCCGGGGCGGCCAAGCTGACTTCAGCGCAATGTGGACACCAGTTTTCCTTTAGGCTGCCCTCGGGACGCATGGAAAGCCTTGACCGAGCTGACCTAGGAAAGCATGAGAGCCCTTTGGCCAGCTCAGCGATGCGCTTTGCCGCGGAGTGGAGCTAATGCCCATTTGGCAACCCGATGGGAGCAGACATTTCATGTCTTCAAAGAAACAGATCTACCCGTCCACCGCAGTGCATCCAGGGCATGACCGACTTAACTGTCTGCTCCAGGAAATTGTCGCACAAGTGAAACCAGTCCTTGACAAATCCATCACCCCATTCACGAGTTGAGTGCAGGGACTCACTTCTGTCTGGTATTTACCAGAACAGGCAATGTCAGTGCCTGCTGACACCATTCCTATAGTCCAGCACCTGAAGTTGCTCAGTCTCTTTTTGGAGCAGAGCTCTGTTTGCTTGCCATCATGTAAGCTCCAGTTGGAAGTAGCAATAATCTTTAAGACCTCTTCCAGGCTAAACCATCCTATGGTTCTGTGATCCTAAGTGTTTACTTTTTTCCTGGTTTGATCAGCTATCCCTTCCCTTATGCCAGGGTACCACTTTTTTGATTCAAACAATAGTTCCTTCAGTTTTATGTAGAAACTCTATACAGTTCTCACTGTTCGGTCTGATGGTAAAACTAAACTTATTCAAACATAGAAATGCGAATTTTCCAGGGAGAAGTTTCCCTGGAATTGTTTCCTTGTCCACAGTTTTAAATTCAGAGCCTTTTTGCCCTTTGCTTGTCTTCACCTCTTTCACTTTGGTTCCCATAAGCTTACTTTCAGTCACTTCTCAAAGAGATGACTATAGACTATTCAGTAATTGCTTATCCCCATCTCTGCTTTTATTCAAGATCCAAATTCATTAATTTTATTTGTATTCCAGTTGAAGTAGACGTACATTTTAATAGGAATTATAAAAATGAAATGTAAGAAGAAGCTTCATTTGAGGTTTGAAAAATTTCCAAATTGTCAGCTTGGTTAAGGATTTGGAAAAATGTGGGAAGGCATGTTTTACTTATTAAATGGTAGACAAGGTGTCCAATCCAGACTTACAGAACCATTACCCTTTTCCAAGTGGGAAGCTTGGGATTTTTTGGGATGGAAGGGTTAGTTTTCTTCCTTCTTGTTTTCATTAACACTAATTAAAGGAAATAATAAGGGATTCTCATACTGACTTCTTCCATGTTGTCAGTACCAAGATGAAGAGCTGGCTTGAGCCATGGACCTCTCAGAGAGGAAAGCTGTGAAACGTTTACCAGCTTATCTGATAATATAAATGGGGAGAAAACCCTTTTTAAGCTGGACAGGGAAATTTCTATTCCTGTTGTTGTGTGTGATTGTAAGCCATTGCAAACTGTATTTTAGCTGTGCAAAATTGTTTTTATCTGCTTTTGCCTTCACTGTTTTTGAGTCAAGGGGTGTTAAGGTGACTGGCTAAATTGGGGAAATTTCATAGGCCATAGCAATCTTAAGAACAAAGATGATAGAGTTTTCTAAGAGTTTATCTGCCCAATACTTTGCAGTGCTTCAAATGAAGCTGCACAAGGTTTGATAGTTGGTGACCTAGGAGGGTTGAGAGAAAGAAGTGTCTCCCAGTAGCTAGCAATGATCAGGAAAGCTCTCCATCATGTAGCAAGAGAATAGGGAGCATGCCAGAAATCAGTAGTCTCAAGGAAGTGTAATGACATATATTGGATGTATGGAATGCTTGGTAAGTGTTGAAGAAAAAACAGTCATTTGTAGAATGTGGTGCACATGTCTATATCCATAATTCTGATATCCCGTATCTGTCATGACCACACTTTTAAAGTAACCCCCCTAAAGTACTCTCTGGCAATCATTTTAGAGAAACTAATCACTATGAACTGAAAGTACACTTCCAAAAGAACGCACGCAACTGTCAGCGCTGACAAATTGTGACTCAGGAGCAAAGTATGCATTTTTCGCAGAGCAGAGGATGTTTCCTAGAGTTTACTAAGAGCGATGTGAATGAATTGATCATGAAACATTAGTAAGAGTCCAGTTAGAAAGCAGTAATTTGCAAATTTCTTTTTCCACCGTAGAGTTGTTTTCCCAAGTGACTTTTACAACCTAACCTGTTATGTCAATTACTCAGTCGACTGTCTGAGTGTACCTAAGCTCTGAGTAAACACATAACTGGGAAAAGCCTGTCATTGCTACCAACTGCAGGCCTCTGAGGCATGTTTCAGGTCTCAGACCTCTGGACCGGTGCCTAGGCTGCTAGCGAGACTGCATTTTTCAGAAATCAGTCAACACCAAGAAGCCAGACAGGGGTCTGTGTCCTTCAGTATTCAAGAATAACTGGCCTGGCTGAACTTCAGAACAGCACAGTGTGTTGTTCCAGTTGGCCCTGAAAGGTACGGCTCCTCTCCCCACACAGCGATCAGCAATGTTGTAAGTGGTGACTATGTCACAGTAGTTAATTCAAAGGCTGTTTGGTAATTCCACCGAGGTTCTGCACAGGACTCTTTTGACTTATAGTTTAATATGGGTTAATGTGGAAGGCAAGAAAGAAACACTAATTTTTGTCAGAGAGACTATACTTAGTTAAATCTTACTACAGCTTACTGAAGCACCATAAGCTACAAATCATTGAAAATACACACCAGTTCTGAGTATCCTACAGTCTGAACACACCTATTTTAGCACACCAGCAGGGGTTGTGGCCACCAAGATCCTTATTCCAGAAAATCCTAAATCTTGGGGTGGTTGATTTTCTGATCACCCAAGTCCAAAGTCCAAATCAACACTGAGTAGCTACATATCCTACTAGATCCCACCCCTTAATGCCCTCTTGTACAAAACTCTCTCTTCTTAGGGAGAACAGGGTAGCAACAGAAACATAAGGACACACACATCACATTGTACTCCTAACAGTGCTTTTAGTGTTACTCCTGCAAAGGCATGTCAGACCCATTTAGTACACATCACAGTAACCTGGAACAGGTTCTCGTGTACTGAGATTTTTTCAGTTTTACTGCTTGGCATTTCCACAGAAAAGAGAGGGAGTTCATAGTTCATATTTGATCAGGTGTATTGATCTGCACTCACAGCAAATTTATACTGGATAGAACAACTGATCTCAAATTGACATTTTAAGTGAGAAACGTGAGTATACCAGTTAACTCAACAGACAGCATTTGGAATCTGGTTTAAAATAAAAATCAATGTTTAATTTTTATTTTTGACAAAGCTAGAAAATATTTCTTAAGTTCTACATCAAAATCACTTCTTCACACTTCCAAATGCAACTGCTGCTTAAGCAGAGGAGTTCTTGGCAGTTAGGAGACTGTCACTGCAACACTTAGCCAGGAATGCATGCTCAGAGCACCTTTCTCCTCCTGGCCCACCCAAAATCGCTGTGGATTTCTTTACAGAATGCTTCTCTTCTGTATTTTCTGTGACTCCTTTCCATGCCTCCTGAGAATAGTCGTTGGGAACTTATCCTTTTTGCCTTCAGCACAAAGAAGCCATATAGCTTTGTTGATTTCCGCTGTGACTAAGCAGGTTCAAAGCCCCACTTTCTTGGCTTTACCACGTTGCTGCTTCACTAAATCAGCCATGCTTGTATTACTGACAATACCTGAGTAGTTCTGGTTTGAACCAAAACAGTTCTCAAGGCAGATCCTGGAATGGCTTCGGGGTTATTTGTCTCCTTAGGACTTCCTTGAGGCGGAGACAGTATGTTAGCACTAACAATACACATCAGAGCCAAAGCAAGTGACTCCTTCACTAGCCAGTAGTTGAGTCATTGAAATGAAAATCAAGTTTCACAACCTCTATCTCTGCATGACACACATCCACCTCAAGATCTTATCCTATTCTGTGGGTTAGAGCTCTTGGAGTTAGCAGAAGTGCAGCTGAAATGGCTGTAATTAATTTTCAGTGAGGTCCGTAAGATGGATGCAGTAGTTTATCCCTCGTATATAAATAAATAAATAGATAGATAGATAGATAGATAGATAGATAGATAGATAGATAGATAGATAGATAGATAGATAGACAGGTAGATAGATAGATAGAGTGTAAAACATCCTCGTCTGTTATGACCAAGATCTGTCTGCTGTTATCATAGACCAGCTCTCTAACATATGCTTTTGCAATTTGCTCATTAATTTGTACAATGTGTGCTCAGAAATTATTCTTAAATACTGTACAGTAAGAGCCAACATGCATAAAAAAACCCTGGAACTGTGAGCAAAGGATTTCTAGATTTAGCCTTCTCACTCAGCCAGAAAGGGACCTCATGCAATAAAATCTGGACAAACTGTACAATGGCTACATATCTAATCAGATAATCCAGTGTCTTGCTAGAATACCTCTAAAATTCATAGAGTCATTGAATGGTTTGGATTGAAAAGGACCTTAAAGATCATCTAGTTCCACCCCCCTGCCATAGGCGGGGACACCTCCTACTAGACCAGGTTGCTCAGAGCACCATCCAACCTGGCCTTGAACACTTCCAGGGATGGGGCATCCACAGCCTCTGTGGGCAACCTGTTCCAGTGCCTCACCACCCTCACAGTAAAGATTCTTTTCCTAATATCTAACCTAAACCTACTCTCTTTCAGTTTGAAACCATTCCCCCTTGTCCTGTCATTACATGAACAAAAGCAATAAGTAAACCAGAGTAACAAAAAAATACCCATACAAGACTATTCTTCAAATTGCTAGAAGAAAACAAAAAGGATGCACACAGTTGCAGAAGA